GTAACCTCACAACCATCTCTTACCAGCTCTCCCTGCCTTTAAAACTGTCCTCCACGTGAAAGGCCAGACACGTGGTTGGTGAGGACACACTCCCCGCAGCCCAGTGGGTTTTACTGAACACTCTCTGGTTTCTGAGTCCAACTAGCATAAACACCAGCTGGGGGTGTAGCTCTGGTAGAGGTGGATGTGCCTCACACGCTCAAGGCCCCCACTTTGATCCTCAACATGGCAAAAAAAAAAAAAAAGCTTAAAAAGAAAGAAACATATTTCACCCAAAGCAAGAAGCCAGCGAGTGAGGTCCGCTTGATTGAGTGGGTTCTCAGAGCTGTTGGCAAGGATGCCGCTCCCCAGCTCCTTCTGTCCTTCGCTCAGTTGTCACCCAAAAGAGCTGGCACAGTGACTGTGGCAGTCATGTGCCACATTAGAGGAAGAAGGGGGGTGGCCTTGCAGCACTTGCGGACTCTACCCTGAAGTCAGGCTGCCCAGGGTTAAATCCTGCCTCACTAGCAGCAAGAGGACAGGCACCAGTGAGCAGGTTTGCTTCTGTCACTGTGGCACATGTCCATCGGCCAACCCCTGTCATTCAGATTCTCTCTGAATGGGAGGAACTGAAAATGTGTGGCCTTTTAAAATATATATATGGGAGAGCTGGGGCTGGGGCTCAGCAGTAGAGCGCTAGCCTAGCATGGGTGGGGTCCTGGGTTCCATCCTCAGCACCACATATAAATGAATGAAATAAAGGTATTGTGTCCACCTATAAGTAAAAAGTGTGTGTGTGTGTGTGTGTGTGTGTGTTTGCATACACTAATATCCATAATGTGAAATATGTAGGGCCTGTGTTCCTGAGGAAACAAGGGCCATGAACTTGTCCCCTTCTCTCTATGTGGCTAAGCCTTGCCTGCCACTTGAGGCAGGACCTGGAGCCTCTTCTCACCTTAGTGGCCTCCTCTTTCCTGTGCCTCAGAAGCTTCCAGAATTTTTTTTTTTTCAGGAAACAGATTTATTGGCTGTAGGGTCCAGAGGGGTTATCACCTAAAACATCCTCAGAACCTTGATTCTGAAAATTTTGGAACTTTCTACCCAAGTATAAAGTGGAGGGGTGGTGGGAGGTTTACATTTTTGTTTGAATCTACACTAAAGTATCTTTTTTCTTGAATTCACAGAAACTGCTTTTCGTCCCATTTTTTAGCTTAGTAAGGTTTTACAACAAAAGCAGAAGTGACATCATCAAGTCTGCTGCCAAACTTGGTTTTAGAAAGTCCTAACCCACATTGAGTTTTTTTTTTTTTTTAGATATATATTTTTAGTTGTTGATGGACCTTTATTTTTTCATTTATTTATATGTGGTGCTGAGACTCGAACCCAGTGCCTCACACATGCTGGCAAGTGCTCTACCACTGAGCCACAGACCCAACCCCTGAATTTTTTTTTTTTTTTTTTTTTTTTGTACCACGGATTGAACTCAGGGGCACTCAACCACTGAGCCACAACCCCAGCCCTATTTTGTGTTTTATTTAGAGATAGTATCTCACTGAGTTGCTTAGCACCTTGCCCTTGCTGAGGCTGGCTTTGAACTCGATTCTCTTGTCTCAGCCTCCTGAGCCACAGGGATTACAGGCATGCGCCACTGTGCCTGGCCTTTTTTTTTTTTTTTTTAAGAGAGAGAGAGGAAAGAAAGAATTTTAATATTTATTTTTTAGTTTTCGGCAGACACAACATCCTTGTTTGTATGTGGTGCTGAGGATCGAACCCGGGCGGCACGCATGCCAGGCGAGCGCGCTACCGCTTGAGCCACATCCCCAGCCTTTTTTTTTTTTTAAATATATTTTTTAGTTGTAGATTGACAACATAGTTTTACTTTATTTATTTATTTTTATGTGGTGCTGAGGATGGAACCCAGTGCCTCACACCTACTAGGCAAGTGCTCTACAACTGAGCCACAAATCCAGCCCCAACACTGAATTTTTTATCAAAATTTTTGCTGATATTCTGACAAGAAGAGGAACATATATGTTACAAATATGGTGGGGGTTTCTGCTTCGTTATGGTAAGGGTCCTCTGGGTGGGGGTCTCTGGTTTGCTTCACAAGTATCTGGGATTTCAGATGTGTGGCACCTCCTGTGGCCCAGAACAGAATTTCTTAAATGTCATCGGTTGGAGCATCCAACCCCAGGGTGTTTGTTTAAGTACAAATTCCTGTACCTTCCCCAGACCTCCCAAATCAGAACATCTGTGGGTTCTGCATCTTAACCAATACACAGGGTGATGCTACTGAGCATCCAAGTTGGAGAACCCCTGAATTTAGAGAAATCCTGACTCTTTGGGGACTGAAAGCTCATTTCAGCCCCTCTTTGGAACAGTTTGACCCTAGTCGAGGCGTAAAATGGACAATTTAGCAGGATCCTTCTTCAAAATAAATGTAACTAGTGGTAGAGCGCTCTGGGGTTCAAACTCTGGTACTGGAAAAAAAAAGTCTACAATAGGTAACTTCTATAGAGACAAAATTATATAAGCACATGGAGGGGCGGAGGATGGGGAAGTGGACATGTATGCTGATGAATTCAGGGTTTCTTTGGGGGTGATAAGTGTATTCTAAAATTAGATTGTGGAAATGGGTGAACAACTCTATAAATGTACTAAAGCCCATTAAAGTGTACACATAAGTGGGCCAATGTTATGGTGCATAAACCGTATCCCAATAAAGACGTGAAAGGAAGAACAGTTATGTTACGGGACTGGGGCCTTCCAGGAAACTAAAGAAGCACGAAGTCCCCCTTCAAATCCTGATTCTGCAATCAAGTCAGGAAGCCTTCAGACATGTTGCTCAGAGGAACAGGCCTGAGCTTATTGAAGGGATAGGAAAAGGGAAAGGGGACACGGAGAGGGACAACGAGCCTCTCCTGCACTCCAGTTTTTTTGGGATTCCAGAGAAGTTTCCAGAGAGTCTGCCCAGATCCACCTCTTGGCTTTTGACTGATAGCAGCATGACATCACACTTTCAAGTCCCCGCTGCCATGGCAACTCTAGGTCACTTTAGTCCATACCAACAGGTTCTAATTGGATTCTTAGCCATACATTCTTACAGGTTTTATGATCAGGAGGAATTATGCTTATCTCCCTGAGTTTCAGGATCCGGTCTGTGAAAAGGGTTCCAAAAGTCTCCCCCTCAGGGTAATTTGGTTCCTTTATTCAACATTATTTTGGGCCTGCATTTCTCCTGCAGACAATAGGTACTTTGCTGAGGAATGTGACAGAGCTTGTCCACCTAAGCCAGGCAGGGCTGCAGGGAAATGCTTCTTGGAAAAGAAAGCATGTGGGGGTCAGCACAGCAGGGCTCTTAACTTTGTGTTCCCACCACCCTCACCTGTCTGTTCCCTATTAATCAGACCAACAGATAATGTCAACAGCCCTTGTGGAAGTCAGGAAAGACAATGGAATGTACCTTTTCAAGAGTCTGAAAAAACAGCCACACCCAGCTAAAAATTCATTCAAGAAGGAGGTTTAGGAGTCAGGCATGGTGGTGCACGCAAGCCTGTAATCTCAGCAATTTGCCTGTAATCTCAGCAACTTAGAAGGCTGCTGCAGGAAGATCACAAGTTCAGGCCAGCCTCAGCAACTTAGGGAGCCCCCTAAAATAACTCAACCAGGCCCTGTCTCAAAACAACAACAAAAAAATAAAAAGGGCTGGGGATGTGACTCAGTGATTAAGCACCCCTGGGTTCACTTCCCAGTAGCAAAAGAAAAATAAAAGTCTAAATAAAGTTTTTAAAATTTATTTTAGTTTTAAGTGGGCACAATATCTTTATTTTATATTTACGTGGTGCTGAGGATCGAACTCAGTGCCTCAAGCATGCTAGGTGAGCACTCTACCACTGAGCCACAACCCCAGCCCTAAATAAAGTTTTTTTTTTTTTTTTCAAAGAAAAGTATGAACATTCGTCACCAGAAACCTCTTCCTATGGAAAAATTCTAAAGCAGCAGATTCCAAAAGGCTGAGTTATCCCAGAACCCTGAAGCCAGTGAGGCTTGAGTGCAGCGAACCCAAGTGAGGGTGTCAGAGACAAAGGCAGAGGTTGTGGGTGGCAGCTGGCAGGGCTGGGGAGGACTTTGGCTCTTCCTTTTAGTGATATGGGAGTATCTGAGTGGGCTGACTTGGATCTGATACACATGTTAGCATGATGTTCTGGTACCTGGGCAGAAGGTGCCTGCAGGTAGGGGAGGGGCTGGCAGAAAAAGAAACAAGGAGCCAGGAGAGGACGCTAATCCGACTGGGAAAGGACAGAGGACTGAGGCAGGCGCCACGGGATGGGGCATGGAGGAGGCGAGGGGTGAGTTTCTGAATCTACTCTGCAGATGAAGCTCACAGGATCTGCTGATCCGTGGAATGAAAAGTGGGAGAAAATTTTAAAGAGGCAGAAGCCTGGAGTACATCGGGCTCCCTGACTTTTTTTGTAAGGCGGATGCAAACTTCGTCAATGAACGAATGCAAAAGTAGAGGGTGAAAGCCTAGAGGCAGCCTCCGGTCTGGTTGAGGGTGGGTTCCTGAACCTGCCAGGTTTGGATTCAGATTCCTCTCTGACCTTGACAAGGTCAGATACAATCTGGAGCCCGCTTAGAGCTCTCCAAAGCTGTCAGCAGTGGTGTCAAACGACCGGGTCTCTCAAGCCCCGCCCCTCCGGGCCCAGGCCCCGCCTTCACCCCTTCAGGCCCCGCCCCTCCCTCCAGACAGGCTCCGGCCCCTCCCTCCAGAAGGCCCCGGCCCCGCCCTCCAGAAGGCCCCGGCCCCGCCCTCCCGACAGGCTCGGGCTCAGCTCAGACCCCCGTCCTCCGGTCCAGGTCCCTCCCACAATCCCCAGGCCCCGCCTCCGGCGGCGGCACGGCGCTTCGGGTGAGCCCGGGTCGGGGGTTTTGTGGTCAGTACGAGGGGGCCGCCTGGATCGGGGAGGCTGGGCGCTGGGGACGGCCGGGCCCGCGGGGGCGGGGGCGCGGGGACAGCCTCGGCGCCTCCTGCCGCTGGGGCCGGGAGGGGGGTCCCGGGAGAGGAGACAATTTTCCGGCCCCCCCGCCCCACTTCCGGGGCCACCACTTTCACTTTCTCTTCCGCCGGAGCTGGTCCCCTGCTTCCGAATGACAGGCGCCTCCGGGAGCGCTGGGGTAGGGCCGCAGCCCCAGACCGCAGGGGCGCTCCCAGGGGAAGCGGGGCGCCCCTCGGGGACCTGGAGCGCCCCCGCCGTGCGGCGCCGGCGTCCTCTCCCTCCTTTCCGCCCCAGCCCCGTTTCCTCTTTCGCCCGTTGCCTGGGTGCCCCCTGCGCTTTCACCGTCCCGGGTGGGGTTCTGGCCAGTTTCCTGTGCCAGGCCCGGGCCCCGGGTGGTGTGACGCTACCCGGCTGCCGCCCGGGACACCAAAGCATGGAAGGGGCTTGGGCCGGCGCCCAAGGCCACTGGCCGAGGCTGAGTCGCTCCTGGTCGCATGCTCTCTCCCAGGTGGCCTGGAGGAAGCATTTCCACGAAGCCACAGCCCCCCTCTGGGGGATGGGCGCAGCCAAGCCAGATGGACGAGAAGATCAAGAAAGGTGGGCACAGAGGGAGGGAGAGGAGGGGTCCCAGCCTTGCCTGCCCTCTCTCAGCCCACCTGCCCTTCAGTTTCTTCTCTTGCATTCTGGGCCGGCTCTGTGCTGCGATAGGAGGTGGGCGGGCACCACCAGAGGACACTGACTTGAGACCTGGGCGGGTGGGGAGACGGACCTCAGCGGGCCTATCAGAATTCCTTGCCTCTTCTTTTGCCCAGGCCACCCAACATTGTAGAACCTGGGCGGTTTCACTGCCCAGCTGCAAACCCTTCCTTGCCCCTGTGTTCTTAGCACCAAGTCCTGAGCCCTGGGTGACCCCCCACCCCCTCTCCCTGCACTTACCCCCTTGCTGACTGTAGTGGAGCCCCACTGGCTTCTGTTCTGATCCTGCTGCGCCTTCCCTTACTCCTCTCCACATGAACACCACCCCCTTCACCCTCCACGTCCCCCCTGCTGCTCCTCCTCAGATCTCAGCACCGTCCCTGATCTCCTTACCCTGTTTATTTCTTGCCAAAATGGACCACAATCTGATTTCTTTTTTTGTCCTGTTAAATTTGTTTATTTCTCCCTCTCCTCTGGACTGGCAGGTCTTTGAGGGGAGGGGCCCTGTTTATTTTAACCATTTCCTGGGACTGTGGGTCACACACTGTAGGAGCTCAGTGAATGCTCATCAGATAAATGAATGGAAGTATGGGAAGTCTTGAGTAGGAAGGAAAAATGGAACCAAATGAGCCTAAGTTGGCAGGAGTAGAGAGTGTCAGAGAAGGGACTTTCTTCCAGAGAAAGGGACTTTAAAGCTGGGTAGAGAAGGATATGTAGTGGTTTATCAGGAAGATAGGGAGCTGCGTGTGTGCACACGGGGTCACCATGTCCCTCATCCCCTTCACCCCCCACCTCCCCAAATGTAACCTGTGCTAACCTGCTTCTATTTTGCTGACAATAGCAGAGGAGATGGCCCTAAGTCTCGCCCGGGCAGTGGCTGGTGGGGATGAACAGGCGGCTATGAAGTGTGCCATCTGGCTGGCAGAGCAACGGGTGCCCGTGAGTGTGAAACTGAAGCCCGAGGTCTCCCTGACACAGGACATCAGGTGAGGCCTGCGTGGTTGGCCAGGGACTTGGGCTTCCTGAACCTTCATGCGCAGCCTATCAAATGTTCTTTTCTTTTCTTTTTTGCACCAGGTATTGAACCTGGGGTGCTTAACCACTGAGCAACATCCCCAGCCCTTTTGTTTTTTATTTTGAGTTAAGGTCTCACTGAATGGCTTTAATTTGCCTCAGCCTCGGGATTGCAGGCATGTGCCACTGCACCCTCGAGAATGATTCTTGGCTGGGCACAGTGGCGCTCACCTGTAATCCCAGTGGCTCAGGAGGCGTAGGCAGGAGGATTGTGAGTTCAGAGCCAACCTCAGCAACTTAGCGAGCCCCTGAGCAACTCAGCGAGACCCTGTCTCTAAATAAAATATAAAAAGGGCTGGGGACGTGGCTTAGTGGCCGAGTGTCCCTGGATTCAAACACCAGTTTGTCACTGAGATGTGGGGCAGGTTATTTTACCTCTCAGAGTTTGCTTTCTCATTTTTTAAAATGAAACAATAACAGTAGTCATAGGGTTGTTAGGATATCAGTCTTCATATAATAGAAGAAAAATAACAGTGGCATAAAAAATGTCAGTTCAAATTTGGAGGTTCTGAGCTCATGGTCCTCAGAGGCACATCTTTCTTCTGTCTCATTATTCATGAAGTTCATCTCATGGTTCAAAATGACTGTTCCAGCTCCAGCCATTTCATCAGGAAGAAGGGAAGACTTCTCTTAAGAACGTAGACTAGAAGTTGCACATACTTCTGCTTCATTCCTAATCTTGTTCTCACAGCCACACTCAGTCTGCAGGGAAGCTGTGAAATACAGCCGGGTATCCAGCTAGACTGCAGGGTTCTCTTAGCAAGGGAAGCAAGGGAGAATGGATGCTGTCAGTCTTTGCCCCAGAGGTTTTAATCTCTACTGAAACACCAAAGTGTAATCACTCAATAAATGTTGATGTCTCTGATTCTTTTTTTACTGCTTTTTTATTGCTGCCTATTAAGGTAATAGTGTGTCAGAGTTGTGCAGTCATCCCCACAGTCAATTTTAGAACATTTTATTATCCCATAAAGAAAACCCATACTCAGCTGGGCATGGTGTCGCATACCTGTAATCCCAGTGACCCGTGAGGCCAGCCTCAGCAATTTAGTGAAGCTCTAAGCAACTTAGTGAGACCCTGTGTCAAAATAAAAAATAAAAAGGGCTGGGGATGTGGCTCAGTGGTGAAGTATTTCTGGGTCCAATTCCCCAGTAACAAAAAAGAAAAAGAAAATAATATACTCATTAGCAGTAAGTCCCTCTCCATCTTCTTTCCAGGGCCATCTATCTCTAGGGATTTGTCTATTCTGGAAATTTTATTTATGTGGAATCTTACCACAGGTGGTTTTTTGGTCTGGCATCTTTCACTTAACATGTTTTCTGGATTCATCCATGTTTACCATATGTATCTGAACTTTTTTCTTTTTATTGCTGAACAACAATCCACTGTGTGGACAAATCACTTTGTCTTTAGCCTTCAGTCAGTTGATGGCCATTCGGGTTGTTCGTACTTCCTGGCTGTTATGAATAATGCTTCTGTGAACGTGTGTGAGCAGGTGGACTTGTTTTCATTTCTCTTGGGGTTACCGCCCAGTGGCATTGCTGGGTCACAGGGTAACTCTACATTAACCCTAACGAGGAACTGCAAGGCTGGTTCTCCAAGTGGCTGCACCATTTCACATTCTGGCCAGCAGCGTGTGGTTTTGATTATAGCATCCTCGTGAGTCTGAAGTAGTATCCCAATGTGCTTTGACTTGTAGTTCCCAAATCATTTGTTAACTAATGATGTGGAGCATCTTGTCATGTGATTGTTGGTCATTTGCATCTTTTCTTTGGATAACTGCCTATATATGTCTTTTGCCAGCTTTTTGTTGTTGTTTTATTGTTTTGTTTTGGTACTGGGGATTGAACCCAGGGGCACTTTTCTACTGAGCTACACCCCAGTGCTTTTTATGTATTTATTTTTCATTTTGAGGCAGGGTCTCGTTAGGTTGCTTAGGGCCTCACTAAAGTGCCCAGATTGGCCTCAAACTTGTGATCCTTCTGCCTCAGCCTTCCAAGTGGCTGGGATTACAGGTGTGTGCCACCACACCTGGCTTCAGATTCGTTCTTGCTATCCTTGCTTTGGAGATGTAATGTGTTCCCAAGTCTGAGAGTGCTCATTAGATTGTTCTGCACTTTACATCATCTCTGTTTCCTTTGGAGTCAGTTCTGGTTTTTCCTATTAGCTCTTCCTTTTCATATTTTTAGTCTTCCAAAAGTGTTTGAGGATCCTTGAGAAAAATTTATAATATCAGGCTGAGGTTCAGTGAAAGAGTGCTTGCCCAGCATGTGGGAGGCCCTGGGTTCTGTCCCCACTACTGCAGACAACAACAAAACCACTGGAATAGGGGCTGGGGTTTGGCTCAGCAGTAGAGTGCTCGCCCAGCACATCTGAGATGCTGGGTCCATCCTCAGCACCACATAAAAATAAGTAAATAAAGGTATTATGTCCAACAACAGGGGGAAAAAAAAGCACTGAAATAATGGTGTTTGGCCTTAAATCCTGCCTCTGGCAGTCATTCCTTGTACTTTGGCATAAACATGTAACATGTTTATCTGTGGAAAAGAGACCACAGTACCGCCTGTGAGCTCCTTGAGAGGATTAAGAGTCAGTATGCACTGGGCCTCTGCACGTGGTAAATGACCACTTTTGGAGGTTTGGCTGAAAGGCCTGGAGAAGGGATGGAAGAGGCTGGAGAAGTGGGGAGGGCAGCCCCCGTGCTGCCAGTTGTGGCTCAGGCTAAGTGCTGCCTGGGGCTGGTGGAGGGACTTCGGCTGTGGCCCTAATAGAGGAGGAAGCAGAGGGACCCGGGAATCCAGGGGAGTCTCCTCAAGACGGGAGTCTTGTGAGTGGACATGCGAGCAAATGTGTACACGTCCTAGCTGGTGGCCATGGCGGACCTGTGGCCCCCCTCTCCCCTCCAGGCTGTGTGTCAGCGTGGAGGATGCCCAGATGCACACCGTCACCATCTGGCTCACCGTGCGCCCTGATATGACCGTGGCCTCCCTCAAGGACATGGTGAGTGAGGGGCTGGTGGGAGTCCCTATGGGGCCTGTTTCGGCGCCTCTCCTCACCTCCGCCCTCCTCCCTCCCTCCCCTCTCTTGGCCCCTGCCAGGTATTCCTGGACTATGGCTTCCCACCCACACTGCAGCAGTGGGTAATTGGGCAGCGGTTGGCACGGGACCAGGAGACTCTACACTCCCATGGCGTGCGGCGGAATGGGGACAGTGCCTACCTCTACCTGCTGTCAGCCTGCAACACCTCGCTTAACCCTCGGGAGCTGCAGCGGGAGCGGCAGCTGCGGATGCTGGAAGGTGAGGCCCTGGCCCAGGCAGTGGGGCGCACACAGGGCCAGGCTCACCTGAGGCCGTAGCGAGCAGGGCACAGTGCCTGCCTGGACGGGGGGTCAGGGACAGAGACGTGGGCAGAGAGCGCTACAGGGAACCCTCTTTAGAACATCTGGTGTGGGGCGAGGTGGAGTTCCGCCTTGGCCCTGGCATTTACCAGAACTGTGTGACCTCAGGCAGGTTCGTTCCTGTCTCTGAATCTTCAGTTTTTATAATCTGTAAACGGGGTATGGTGATAATTATAACAAGTATTTATTCTAAATTTCTTACTTTTGCAGTATTTCATAACTACAGAAAAGTTACAGAATTGCACAAAAAAATTACATAAGTTCCGAAGTACTTTTTTTTTTTTTGGTACCAGGGATTGAACCAGGAGCACTTTACCACTGAGCCACATCTCCAGCCCTTTTTGAGACAGGGTCTTCCTAAGTTGCTAAGGCTGGTCTTGAACTTGCAATCCTCCTGTCTCAGCCACCCGGGTCGCTGGGATTACAGGCGTGCACCACCGCACTTGCTTTCCCAAATATGAACACTTTACCATATTTGCTTTGCTTTATCATTCTCTTCTAAATATAAAATGGTTTTAATTTCTGAACCATTTGAGAATAAGGGTCAGACATGATGTCTCCTTCCCCAAATACTTCAGTGTCATTTCTGTAAATAAAAAGGTCATTTTCTTGTGTTACCATGTGCAGCTCTCCAATTCAGAAATCAGCATCAATGTAGTACAGTCAGCCCCTCTCAGGTTTCACCAGTAGCCCCACAGATATCCTTCATGACAAAAGAAGCAGTCCCATCCCAACCCTCCTCCCGGGGCTCTCCCTGGTTCCTGACTCCCCTGAGCTGACTGGAAGTCTGGCGCCATTCCTTCTTTTTCTCTGGTTTCTTCACAAATGGATCCCTGGGTGTTCTGACAGGCCTCCTCAGAGGGGACCCTGCGGCTCTTTGGGTGCATCAGGAGGCCCGAGTCTGGAGCATCATGGGTGGGGTAGGGATCTGATCCCTGAGGGAGCCAGAATGCCCACCTGGCAGGACAAGGCTGGAGTCAGGTCCAGGGAGGAGAGAGGCTGAAGGTGGGGTGCCTGGCTGGCTCGCTCAGGGTGTGGACAGTGGATAGCATGGATCCTGCCGGCCTTCCTCCTCTGCAGATCTGGGATTCAAGGATCTCACGCTGCAGCCAAGGGGTCCCCTGGAGCCAGATCCTTCCAAGTCCGGGGCCCCCCAGGAGCCTGGCCAGCAGCCAGATGCAGTGCCCGAGCCCCCACCGGTAAGCGGCAGTCCTGTGTGCCCTGCCTGCCCCACCGGGTCTGCCACTCTGCTCATGGCTCTCTGCTCCCAGGTGGGCTGGCAGTGCCCTGGCTGCACCTTCATCAACAAGCCCACGCGACCTGGCTGCGAGATGTGCTGCCAGGCGCGGCCAGAGACCTACCAGGTTCCCACCTCTTACCAGCCGGACGCGGAGGAGCGAGCGCGCCTGGCCAGCGAGGAAGAGGCGCTGCGCCAGTACCAGCAGGTGGGCGCTCCAGTCCCGGGACAGACTCCTGCCCACTGGACGCGGGAGGCCTAGGCCAGGAAGGGAGCCCCCTGCCGCTCCTCCCTCGTTACTGCCCTGCCCTCCTGACCTTACCGCTAGCTGTGGCCCTTCACTTGACTGCGCGCTACCTGTCTCTGAGGTCACCCTGGGCCGAGACTCTGCTTCCTGCTGTGGAGCACATCCAGTTTCTTCATGTGCTCCGTCCTGTGTGGGCTGTGTCTCCGTCTGCACTTTAACAACCCCCCATGTACGCAAGTGTCCCTGCTGTGACCTCAACATCCGTGCTGTGACCTTGAGGAGGCCTGAGCAGGGACCTCACCCCTATCCACCTGTACCCTCACTCCTCCCAACCTTGTCCTCTCCTGCCCCTACTCCCCTCGCCTCTGGCCCCGCCTACCCTGGCCTCTCACTCTCCCTGGGGGAATGACTGCCCTCCAGGAGCCCCTGTGGTGACACCCCTCTCCCTACCAGCACAGCCCCTGCCCCACCCTGGCCATCACCCCACTCCGGTCCCATCTGTAGCCTTGCTTGTCTCCCGGCTTTGCCGCCCCTTCCTAACTGACCAGACCCCACCTGTGCCCTCTGCGTCTCCGCCCCGCCCCGCCCCGCCCCGGTGCCTGGCAGGACCTCAGACCCCGGCCACGTCCTTTCCACCGCTGTTCCACCCGCTTCCCAGCCTGGCCACGCTCGCCCGCCCCGCCCCTCTCCCTCACCCTGCCCCCACCCTGGTCTCACCACCCCCAAGACCCTGACCCGCCCCGTGGCCCCGCTCGTGTGCCCAGCGGAAGCAGCAGCAGCAGGAGGGGAACTACCTGCAGCACGTGCAGCTGGAGCAGCGGAGCCTGGTGCTGAACACCGAGCCCGCCGAGTGCCCCGTGTGCTACTCGGCGCTGGCGCCCGGCGAGGCGGTGGTGCTGCGCGAGTGCCTGCACACCTTCTGCAGGTGCGCCCCGCCCCCACCCAGCGGCGCGCGGTCCCTCGCAGGGCCGCCAGTGGGTGGGCCTGTGTGCTTTCATTTCCTTGGACACCCGCAGAACCTTCCAGGTAGGCCCTGTCTCCCCAAGGGCAGAGGAGCAGTGGGAGGTACAGAGAGGCCAAGCGACTTCCCCAAGGCCACACAGCCCATGTAAGAAGCCCAGACATGAACTCAGGCATTCTGACTGCAGACTTTCTGCCCTTATTTTAACCCCAACTACCCAGGCCCAGGTGAGGGGAATGGGCCGCTTTCCCTCCCAGCTTGTATCAACTTTGGCCTCTACTGGCTGGCGCTATCCCCCACCCCACCCCACCCCAATCGTGGCTCTTCCACCCCTGGACTGGGAAAACGTGTTCGTTTGCCACGGTGGTCATTGCTAGAGCTGTACTGAGCGCCAGGTCCCCTCTTCCTCCTGGAGGTGACATTGGGGAGGAGGCCTATGTTAATGGATAATTGCTGGCTGAGCAGTGGGTCATGAGCCCTGCTTGGGGACCGTCAGGACGCCTCTAAGGAGCGTCCCTGGAACAGAAGATTGGGCCCAGGCTTGGACCTCGACCTCACTTGTCTCAGGACCTCACTTGTCTCAGGAGACCTGTGGGTCCAGAGGAGAGGGACAGAGGGGTTGGGCTTTCCGGGGCTCAGCGAGCACATGGGGGTTTGCGTGGGTGCTGGGGTGCAAGGGGTGGGGAGCTCCTGGGCACTGACACTGCTGCGGTACTGAGAGTGGACTTAGGGGCCAGGTGGGGGCAGGGAGGAGGCTGTGTCACCAGGTGGAGTGATGGGGGCCTGGGTCAGAGCAGCAGGGAATAGCGGGGCTGCTGGATGGAAGGAAGTCGGGTGTTGAGGAGAAGCCCAGCTAGGGCCCTGGGGTCAGGCTGTGCCATGGGAGGGTGGAGTCCCTGTGGGCATTTGTAGGACCTAACCCTGTCCTCCCCCCCAGGGAGTGCCTGCAGGGCACCATCCGCAACTGCCAGGAGGCCGAGGTCTCCTGCCCCTTCATCGACAACACCTACTCCTGCCCGGGCAAGCTGCTGGAGAGGGAGATCCGGGCGGTAAGGCTGGGGGCAGGAAGGCCCCAGAGTCCTTGGAGCTGGCCTAAGCTGGCCTGACATCTCAGTAGACATTTTTCAAGAGCCTCCCCCATGTTGGGCACTGGGGTCCAACCAGGACAGGATTTGGGGGAAGTAGCTGAAACTTACTGACAGTTGTAACTTTTCCTTCATGAAGGGAAGAGATAGAGCTGTTGGGGTGGGGAGCTCTGGGCCCCGGGGCTGGGTGTATGACCTGAGTTCCTTTCTTTCTTTCTTTTTTTAAGAGAGAGAGAGAGAGAGAAAATTTTTTAATATTTATTTTTTAGTTTTGGGCAGACACAACATCTTTGTTTGTATGTGGTGCTGAGGATCGAACCCAGGCCGCACGCATGCCAGGCGAGCGCGCTACCGCTTGAGCCACATCCCCAGCCCCTGAGTTCCTTTCAAGAATTGTGGAGATTGTGGTGGAGGGTGTGCATGAACAAGTTAGAGTAGACTTGGCACATGGCAAGCCCTTGTATCAGCTGGTTTTTGCTGTGTAACAAGTCACCCCAGATTTAATGGCTCCCAACAATTTAAGTGATCAGTTGCAAGTTAGTGATTCCAGTTAGGCTGAGCAGGGGGTGCTTCTTGTCTGCACTGGGCCAGGCTGCTCTTTTCTGGGCTTGACAGGTGGGCCACTATGGTGGACTGGTTCATGTGGCCCCTCTCCACCTGCAGGCTGGCAGGGCTCACTTGGTGGTGGTTCCAGGGTTCCAGGAGCAGCTGTGGGGAGCCTGGGTGTGGGAGTGCTTGCGAGTCTCTGCTGTCTTCTACCTGCTGTCCCTGTGGGAGGGGACATGAGCAACAGCCTAGCACAGTGCTGTGGAGGCTCCTGTGTGCGTGCTGCTGCTCTTGTGGTTCAGGTTATTAAGGGGTCAGTTTCCCCTCTAGGTACTGATGACTTGAGCAAATCCTTCCCTCCTCTGGACCTCCATTTCCCCATCACAGTGTAAACTGTTGGGCTTGATTCACCAACTTCAAATTGCAAGAAAATGGCCTTCCCAGAATCAAGCGTCTGGGGTTCGCAGGCCAAAACATGGAGGCAGGGCCAGAGGTGCCAAGGGCCAGATGGGAGATGCTTCCCAGACATGCACATAGGACCCCCGTTTCTTCCCATCCCAGGACATCCTCCGACTGCATTTTGTCCCGTTTCCTCCAGTATTTCTGGCAGACATATTTTTTTTTTAAAAAAACCAATCAACTTTATTAAATTATACTTAGTACACAATAAAATGTACCCATTGTCACTGTGCAGCTGGATGAGTTCTTTTTCTTTTCTTTTCTTCTCTTCTTTTTCAGTGCTGGTTATCAAACCCAGGGCCCTTCCCAGGCTAGGCAAGCTTTCTACCCTAACCCAGAGCCCTAACCACCACCCAGTCAAGATACAGAGCAGAGGCCTGATTCTTACCTCATTGTAACTGGCAAAGACGCACCAACTTATTATTTTGCTGAAGAATCTTACATATAATACAAAAATGTTATATAATATAATAATCATTTCCTCTGTCTGTATGACATTGATTTGTATGTGGGGGACTGAACTTAGAGCCTCATACATGCTTAGCAGGTGCTCTGCCTTGAGTTGTATCCCCAGCCCAAACTGGGATTTTTTTTTTTTTTTTGCGGGAGACTATCAGGAATTGAACCCAGGAGGGCTTAACCACTGAGCTACATCTCCAGCCCTTTGTATTTTTTAATTTCAGACAGGAGTCTACTAAGTTGCTTAGGGCCTCACTGAATTGCTGAGACTGACCTCAGACTTGTGATCCTCCTACCTCAGCCTCCCAAGTTGCTGGGATTACAGGTGTGCACCACCATGCCTGGCCCAAATTGATTTTTTGAGTATGATGTACCAGGATACTAATTTAACTATATTGCCCTTATCATTGCTTCTTCTTCTTATTTTTTTTTCCCATGGTACTAGGTATTGAACCCAGGACCTCCTGCATGCTAGACATGTACTCCACCATCTAATTACATCCCTAGCCCTTTTAATTTATTTTCATTTTTGGTTTATTGTTTATTTATTTACTTTGATGCCAGAGATTGAAACCAGGGATTCTTAACCACTGAGCCACATCCCCAACCTGTATTTTTTATTTTGAGGCAGGATATTCTTTTTACTTTTTATTTATTTATTTAGAGATATTATCTTGCTGAGTTGCTGAGGCTGGCCTCAAACTTGCTATCCTGCGTCAGCCTGCTGAGTGGCTGAGATCACAGGCCTGCACCTTGGCACCCGGCTTGCATGGAGCCTTTAAACACTAGAAGGGTTATAGGAGAAAAGTACTCGGACTGGGTTGACTGTATGGGCTGGGGCTTCCTGGAGGATATTTGGTGGCACAGAGGGCCATCTGTTGGGTATTCTGAACCCCAAGCACAAGGACATGGTGTGTTGGCAGCTCCTGAGCCCCGAGGATTACCAGCGGTTTCTGGACCTGAGTGTCTCCATTGCCGAGAACCGCAGCGCCTTCAGCTACCACTGCAAGACCCCAGACTGCAAGGGCTGGTGCTTCTTTGAGGATGATGTAAACGAGTTCACCTGCCCCGTGTGTTTCCACGTCAACTGCCTGCTCTGCAAGGTGCGTGGTCCCACGCTGCCTCCTCCCCTGGTTCTGTGGAGGCTGACTGCATCAGAGATCAGCGCCTGTTCCCATGGGGAGGGAGCGGCGATGTTGGTCTGGGAGTTGTGATGAGGAGCTGCATGTCGCTGCCCTGACCCGGGAGGCCAATCCCAGCACTGGCCCCAGCACAGCCTAGTACTGATCCTGATCCTGGACCACGTCCTGGTCCTGGGCTGAGTTCAGCTTTGGCCCTAGTCACAGACTGAATCCTGGTCCCGTATGGAGCCCTGACCCTTGCGAGCCCCAAACTTGGCCCCAAACTCAGCTCAGACTCTACATCGCACACTTAACTGGTCCCATGCTAAGCCAGACACCGAGACCCACCCAACCCTGCCCCATCCTTCCCCAGGCACATCCCAATGCCTTCAAAAGTTGCCCATTAAAGTGATGAGCAGGCAGAGCCCAGGCTCAGACTCAGGCTTGGCAAACTGGGTCTCCAAGCAATGGACCTCTGGTGGGGTCAGAACCACAGAGGCCCAGGGACCTTCTCTGGTTGTGCCTGAAGTAGTGCTTCCAGTCTGAAGCCCCGGGAACTCTCTCCTGGACCCCCCCCCTCCCCCCGCAGGCCATCCACGAGCGCATGAACTGCAGGGAGTATCAGGACGACCTGGCCTTGCGCGCTCAGAATGACGTGGCAGCCCGGCAGACCACGGAGATGCTGAGGGTGAGCCAGGGTCGGGCTGATTTCTGCTCTGAGGGCTTCTCGAGCTGAGTTCACAGATCCCTGGAGGCGCAGAGCTCCCTTCTGTCAACTCCCATCCCGGGATGGGCCTTAGGCCCGGAGTCAGGTGGTGAGCAGCAGGAGCAGGGTCTGGGTGGAGGCAGGGGACCGCTGTGACAAAGGAGGCCAGAGAAGTTCTGGGAGGGAGCTGGAAGCCTCCAGGGGTGGGCGCGGCAGGCGGCAGTCCCCGCCCACTCACCCTCTGCTCCAGGTGCTGCTGCAGCAGGGCGAGGCCATGCACTGCCCGCAGTGCCATATTGTGGTGCAGAAGAAGGATGGGTGCGACTGGATCCGCTGCACCGTCTGCCACACCGAGATCTGCTGGGTCACCAAGGGCCCGCGGTGGGGCCCTGGGGTGAGTTGTCCAAGGAGCAGAAGGCTTGGGGGTGGGGTGGGGAGAGTGGGGCTTGCCTGGGAGAGGGGCTTGGAAAACTATAGCCTGGGGACTGTTCCAAGCCCCACATGCTAGACAAGTGCTCTGCCACCGAGCCCCAGCCCGGCCCAGGAGAGGGTTTTTTAACATCTGTTTTTTGTTTTTTTTTTTTAACTGAACACAGGCAGGTGTGCGCTACCATTGAGCACATACCCAGCCCATTTTTATTTTTTTGGTACCCGGTTTTGAACCTTGGGGCTCTTTACCACGAAGCTACATCTCTAGCCCTTATTATTTGTTTAGAGAGGGTCTCACTAAGTTGCTGAGGCTGACCTCGAACTTATGATTCTCCTGCCTCAGCCTCCTGCATTGCTGGGATTACAGGTATGTGCGACTGCACCTTGCTTTTTACACTTTAATTTTTTTTTTAATTTGTTCTAATTAGTTACACATGACAGTAGCTTTTTACATTTTTATTTTTTAATCATTTTTATTTATTTTTAATTTTTTTTAGTTGAAAATGGACACAATATCTTTATTATTCTTTTTTTATTTGTTTATTTTTACATGGTGCTGGGGACCGAACCCAGGGCCTCACGCTTGGGAGGCAAGCACTCTACCACTGAGCTACCACCCCAGCCCATTTATTTTTATTTTAAAAGTATTTATTTATTGGTACTGGGGATTAAACCCAGGGGTGCTTAACCACTGAGCTACATCTTCAGCCCTTTTTATTTTTTATTGTGAGACAGGGTCTCACTAAATTCTAAAGCCTCTCATTAAATTTCTGAGTCTGGCCTTGAACTTGGGATCCTCCTGCCTCAGCCTCCTGAGTCACTAGAGTTATAAGCATGTGCCACTGAGCCCAGCTACATCTTTAAATGGTGTAAACAGTATTGAAAGCGCACAGTATTTCATGACAGGTGAAAAAGATATGAAATCTAGGCTGGGGGAGTACCTCAGTGGTAGGTGCTTGCCTAGTATATGTGAGGCCTTGGGTTCAGCTCTGATCACTCTGCAGAAAACAGAAAATTAGGTGAAATCCAGATTTCAGTGTCCTCAGTACAGTTCTGTCCGAGGCCAGCCACACTCTTGTCCTGGCCTCCGGTCTCTGGCTGCTTTGGTGCCCCAGGGGCTAAGTATATGGCTGCCAGTGCCCAACATCAGGCCTTTACAGGAACCTTCTCCCTCCCTGTTGCAGAGGACAGTGGGAAAGTGCAGTCAGGAGTCCGGCAGCCTCCTCCCTGGCCCCCCACACTGAGCACTTCCCTGAGGCTCAGCTTCCTCCCCTGGGACAACCTTGGAGCCTCAGGCTTGTCAGAATCAAATGACAAAGGCATTTGCTAGGTAGAGGTCCCCTGGGAGCTCTCTGCTGAAGTCAGCTGTCCTCACTGGGGGTGTTACTGGAGTTGGGGCTCCTCGTGTGGCACACAGGAGACACAGACGAAATGGAGGGGTCTGCTCGCTCTCGCACCAGCGCTGCCCACCCGGATGTGCCAGTACTGTCCAAGCCTCTCCCACCCTGGGTCTGCGGCAGACGGACACGACTCTTGTAATAGGGGAGCTGCGGGGCCCAGAAAAGGCCTGCATGACCGCCTCTACCAGGTGGCCTAGCCAGGAGGGCCGCTCAGGAGGACCTGCGGGGACGAGGGCCCGAGTGGCAGGTGTGCTCAGGTGGGTCTGAGGGAGCAGCACAGGCAGGCTGTCCTTCCTCCCTGCTTCACGGACGCTTCCCTCTGTCCTCTAGGGCCCCGGAGACACCAGTGGGGGCTGCCGCTGCCGTGTGAATGGCATTCCTTGCCACCCAAGCTGTCAGAACTGCCACTGAACCCAAGATGGTGGACCCAGCCCTACATCCGGAGGCAGTTGTGGGCAGGGCTGGGCTCGGAACTTGGCTCTGATTTCTGGGCTGCAAGACCGTTTTGTGCTTTGGCCAAGGCAGAAGCCCTGTGGGGATGGCCTGTTTGCCACAGGTGGTGTAGAGGCCCCACCTGAGCCTGCTGTTGGGTCACCTGTGCCCAGTGCCTTTATCCTCTTCCTGCGGGCTTGCGGCCCAGACCTTCTGGAAGGGGCTCTGTGAGCCACCAGCACCCCCACTCCTCGCCTGCAGGTCACAGCTAGCCACAGCTCGCCCCTCCACGTTGGCTTTCTGGGGTGAATTTGCTCCGCCTTTGCTGTTGGAGGCTCAGAGCTGCTGAGACCGGGCCAGCTGAGAGCACGCCCTTGGGTCTGACCGCCACCATCTCCCTCTGTTGCCTGCATGAGCAGATTAAAATGCTTTTCCAGGAAGGGTGTGTGTCTTGTCCTTGAGAGGGAGTGTCACGGGCCAGTGTCCCTGAGGCCTCTGGGAATGACATCAAGAAGGTAATCTGTCAGCCCTTTTCAGTGGTAAGAAGAGGCTGTGACTCAGTGCTGGGACCCTGTACCAGAGCTGGCATCTCTGTGCCCAAGGACACAGTGGGCCATGGGGGACCTTTGGGTAGGGGAGGGAGGCTGAGGCTGGCTGGGGAGTCTTGCTGGTCCCCCTTGACCTCTCAGTGGGGAGCCAGCGGTGGGGAGCAGAGATTTCAGAACAGATAAGGCTGCTGTGCTTGAGGGGTGAGGTTGTCCATCCTAAATTTATTTTTTGGTACTGAGGATTCTAGCCCAGGGGCAGTTTGCCATTGAACTTCATCTCTAGCTGCTGAGGCTGACCTTGAACTTGTGATCCTCCTGCCTCAATTTCTTGAGTGGCTGGGGTGATGGGCGTGTGCCACTGTCTCAGCTTGTCCATCCTAATTTTAATGTCTCAGGCAAGATGGCAAAGTATTGACCTAGTGATATTCATTAGTACCCACTCTGCTGGTCATATTAATAGAGCAAGGTCCGGAGACGTCCATTTTGTGCATTCCTCCTCCAAGCTGTGACCCATCCCCTATTGAGAGCTGGTTATTAATGCCCAAAGCAGAGTCTCTGCCACAAATGTGATCACGAGGGCAGGCAGCGGGTGCCTCTGCTGCTCCGGGCCTGACTCCAGGCTTAGATGCTAGGCCTGAGGATGTTGGGGGAAGGGTTTGTTCCAGCCCTTGAATAGGCACTGCCCCCTGTCTGGATGCCCAGAGCAAAAGGTGACCCCAGGCAGTGAGCAGACACCAGAGAACATGGGTGGGTAAGTGCCCTTGGCTTGCCGGTGTGGGTGCAGGTCACTGACTCTGGCTGGCGGTGGCTGGCAGCCTCCCCAGCCCTGGGGGAGGATCAGGCAGAGCTGGCTCCAGCCCAGCCTGCAGGTGCCTTTCAGACTGCCACGACCTCTCTCCACAGACCCAGCCCCGGGCCTGGGCTTCCCCCTCCCCACAACCCCCACCCTTCATGGTCAGCTTTGTTGTGCCCTGGCTACTCCCTCCTTGGCCTTGCACATTGGGTGGGGTTTTCTGAAGCCAATTAGGTGTCCAGTAACCAGTTCTCCTGCTCTCTGGAGTTCGCATCAGGTCTCACAGAGGGCTCAGCCCAGAGACTGCCTGCTCTTCAGATGCCAGCACAGATGGGGTGCCCAGTGACCCCCACTTCTGCCTGGCCAGATACGAATTTGGGAATTCCATGACTTCTCCCCCTTGGGCTCACTAATGTTCACAGGGAACACTGGACTCAGTGACCTGCAGCTAGAGGAGGTGACCAGAACAAGATGCGGGGTGAGCCTCCATGTCCCTGCAGTCATGTGCAGTCACGACCCCTGCATATCCATGTACTCACCAACCGGGCAACTCACAGAACCTCATTTGATTTTTCATAGATCTCCCCCCTCCAACCCCTAGGTCAGTGTAATCACTTGGTGTTTCCAGTGACCAGCCCTGCATGAGGCCATTTAGGAGTCTCACTTAAGTCACCTGGTTAGCATGAACTAAGGTGAGTTTATTAAAAATGACAGACATTCCTGAATCATCCACTCCTTGGCAATTCCAAGGGTTGCAGGAACCCTGGGTCAGGAACCTGCACAAAGACCAAATAACTTACACCACACACACCCTTTCTTCAACTCTCCAGTTTTCAAAATTCTGCTGAAGAGTCAGGCATGGAGGCTGAGGCAGGAGGACTACAGTTTTGAGGTCTTGTTCCCAAAAGTAAAAAGGGCTGGGGTGTAGCTCAAGGATAGCCTAGGAGGGTGTGGACAAATGACAGACATAATTAGTAACCACATATGGCTGTTTATTTCATACAGGGCTCTCTGTACAAAATATTTACACATATTCTTTACAGAATAAATAAGTCACCTGAAGGTAAATAGATAATGCTTTCTCCTCAGTGGCTAGGGAGAATCCTGGTGTGAGCAAAGCTGCAGTGCACACTTTCTCCTTAGGCCACAGCACAGGCAAACATCGCTTGCTTCCTGGGATCCAGAGTTGTGGCCTTGGGTCCTCAGCAGCTCCTCCACCTCTTGCCATCGCTGGGTTTACAAACAGGTTTGCGTGCTGCGGCTAGAGGCACAGAGCTGTTGCCATTTGAAAAGATGGCAAGAGGACAAACTTGGCACAGGAGAAGATGGAATATTTGCCATCTCTTGTCACCTCTGGATCCTGGAAGAATTTTCATTTGTCCTAATGATCCCACCACTTTCTGGATTAATCCATCTGCTGCACATTCACCCTACGTGCCTCCTGCTGTGCACGACTCACCATGCTTTAAGATGTTTTGGTTAAAGTGCTCAGTGTAACTCAGAACTCTCCAGCATGCTGGCAGGAAGCCTGCTGACCACCCACCCTGCACATTGTGGGCATGCAGGAGGGCGGAGTGCTTCTGACCCGTTCACTTAATGAAATCACCAGCTGGGAGAGCCCAGGAAAATAAAAGTACACAGCTGCTCCACACAATGCACTCCAATTTTTAAAGCAGCAAAAGGCACTCCCCCCCCCCCCAAGCTCGAGTTAATGTACAAACCTGGCTTCACTCACAGAAAGCTGCCCAGGACCACTGTGGGATCCCCCTTCTTCCCAAGGCCTGGGGGGCCTCCGAGAAGCCTGGGGCAGGACTGGCTGCTCTGGGCCCTGCCATGCTCTTCATGCTACAGTTTGTCCCTTTCTGGTACCATCAAGTTTCCACCATTTCCCACTAGGCAGAGACCAGGGGCTCTGCTATATCAAGCCCAGACGATGCGAGTGGGCGCCTCCCTGGGAGTGGAAGGCTGGTCTGTGGGGAACAGGAAGGAAGCAAAGTGGGTTGGAAGTGGGGGGCTCTCCACAAATGGCAGCTCTGGCTGAAGTGAAATGTTACGCAGTTGAGTAGAAAGTAAACTTCAGGGTTGTACAAGCTCATCCTTCTGATGAGAACTATTTTTTTCCATGAAGGAACGATTCTTTTTAAAGTGAAAGTACTTTACATGTTAGGAGTGTATAATTCTAAAAATAGTAATAAAAGTGTCTTTTATAAGTAATGTCATGTGGCTTGTAGAAGAGAACAGGAAGAAATAAAAAGGCAGGCAAACCAGTCTAGGTAATATTCTCTCCTGCTGGACTGGAAGTACCCACGTGATTTCTAGGCTGAAAATAGGTAGGATTTCACCAGTCACCTAATTCGTGTCTGATTTCTGACCAGCTAATGGAGCTGCTTTTAAAAGGGCTCCCACTCGAGAGTCCTCTGCCCCTCACTTTCATCCAAGACCCGACTCCTTCAGCAGCAGGCCTCTTTCCTCATCTATCTGAAGTGGACAGAACCCCAGGAGCTGCAAGGAGGGCATTCTGGGGTCTGGCTTACTTTCTATTGGGTAGCCAGGACGTCCCCCAGTAGCCAGGGAAGCCCAGGCCCTGAGGTTCTCAGGATGGCTGGGAACAAAAGAACCCACTTCCACCAACATGAGGGGAGGTGGCAGAGACACTCTCAGGTCCGTGGAAGACACTGCAGGTCAGGCTTGCTCTGTGACTGGCCTCCAAAGCCATGGCAAACGTGGCAGGCGAGGGTGGCAGGAATAGAACACCCTCGACAGAAACCCTTTTAATCAAGGAAATTCCATCTTCTCAGTCCTTCTGGGAAAGGGCGAGACCGGGAGCACTGTGAGAGGAAGTGGCTCGGGCTTCAGGGGAAGAGCTGCAGCTGGAACTTGGGGGCCCATTCCAGGGCACTTTTCACCACCGCTAGAGCAGCTGCTCCCAGGGCCACCGTCAGCCCCATCACTGCCAGTTTCACAAAGCGGTTGGTCCTTGGTTTGGTCAGAACATCTTTTGTTCGAGTCTCAGGTCGCAGAAGTCCTCGAAACCGCTGCCGCAGCACCATATCCGGCCTCTGTTGGGCTGATGCCAGCTCAAAGTCTTTGAAGGTAGAGGCTGCAGTTCTGTAGAGGAAGGAGGCAGAAATAAGGACTGGTATGAAGAAAGAAGAAGAGGAGCGGTAGAGCCAGAAAGTTCTTCTGGATAAAGACCCGAGAAGTCTAAGGGGATTCGGCTGGAATGGCTCTGGCCACTGTCCTGCCCTGTCCTCACCCCACAGTCTCCCCTGCCTCTGCCTTTTACAGCTGCCCCAACTCTACTAGTGCCTCGCTCTGCTCACCTCTCAGCCTGCTGCTGGGCAGCAGCCTCCCGTGCGAGTTCTGAAGGGGGAAACTGAACAAAGAGGTCCCCTGCTCTGCTGATCAGCGTCTCATAGGGCAGGTCCTGAGGGATCTGGGACAACAAATGGTGGACCGAGGCCATGTCACAGTCACAGTCCAGAACTTCCTGCTCACGATACAACACAATCTGTGGGAAGAAAGACTTTGCATCATGGACCAGACACACAGGGCCATGGCCAGCTGCCTCTCAGTCTCTATAGAGATGAGTTCAAACCGGAAACAGACAGAGCCCAGCCCAGCTGCTCAGCAAGCTCTTGTATCCATCCAGGAAGGAATGAGGCACATTCTTTCAGTGCTATTCCACAGCTGGGCTGGGCCTTCCTGCTAGGAGCGCACTGCCACTCATGACGTGAAAGACTGACAAATTAAAGTAAGTCCTTCCAGGCACATTTGTCTGCTCAAGTGTCTCTCAGAGTCTTGAAAGAAATGAAGGCGATTCTTTTAAGAAGAAAAGGAGAGGGATCATGGGAAGATTCTTGGAGCTTCAGCAAAGAAATGGTTCAAAATCGTAGAAGGAATCATCTCGTTCCCTTTAAACATCTTCCTTCTTACCGCTGGCCCACAAATCCACTGCTGTTGAAGGGATCTGTGAAGAACTTCCTGGGTCCCCACCTCTACAAATTATTCAGGCCTGTGCTTCCCCCACCCCCCATACAAGGGATTGAACTCAGGGGTGCTCTACCACTGAGTTACATCCCTATCTTTTTTTTTTTTA